ATTACACGCCGCCTGGCTTCCTGAATGTGACTTCCGGTACTCTGTATCGGTGAGTACCGGAAAAAAACTATCGGTATTCGATTACCGAAGTATCGGTGCATCCCTAATATATATATATAAATATAATCTCTGTTTGCCCGGCTTCCTGATACCGGAAGTATCGGGCTAGGAATCGGAGCATTCCGATATATATATATTACACACACACTTGCGTGTGTGTGTGTATGTCAGGCAGAGAAACACAGACACACTATACATAGATATAGACGTACATACAAGTCTTATTTTGGGGAGGAGGAGGAGCATTACCTGACTTGGGCGCGTGTCCAGGTTAAGGCGTGACGCGGAGGAACGGAGCTTGTTGGATGATAAAATTCACAGTCTGGCCGCTTGCAATGATTGCTGAATCTGCAATGCTGTAACAAGGGGAGAGGTACGGGGTGGGTGACAACGGTCCAGGTAACAGGTCTTCCCGCCATGCCGTATTATCAGGTACAGCCAGCACTATACAAACTCTACTCTTACCTTGGGGTGAAAGAATGAGCACTCTGTGTTTTTGCATGAAGGGAAGAAACGACATTGAACCTTCGCATGGCTCTTGGCGGCCGGCTCTGGGGGAAGAAAACAAACTTGTTATTCAGGACCCTCCAGGGACAGGAGGCCACGGACACATTATTAAAGAATTAATATTCTAATTCTTCCATGATTCCGTCTTTTAATATTAGCAGTTTCCTATCAGACTGTCCTGATGCTGCTCTGAAGAGGGAGGAGTCACACTAGTGTCGGAGCCAGGAAACGATTCAAGCAAAGGGAACTGCGAATGTCCAGAGCAACAATAGGAGAATGCCTTCCAAGTATGCACACCGCCTTCCCAATGAGGACTGGCTGGAAGAGGCACCAGCAGACCCCACGCAGGCCTCCCTGCCATTTTGTAGCCTCATAACTAGGAGCTGCAGCGTCACAATCCCACCCAGACTTGGCGCCTGGTGCCACCACAGCAGGGACGTTCCCTTACTGCAGACAGAAGGAAATCCCACCAGGCCAGTCCACCAAGGTGGTAAGTCTCCCAGTCAAGGTCATCCCCAGGCACTGAAAAGGGAGTAGGCCCAGACCCACTGGGTGTGTGGAGTGATACTCATATGTCCATCATTATATTTATACAAACACACCGATCAGCCATAACATTATGACCAACCGCCTAATATTGAGTAGGTCCCCCTATTCCTGACCCGTCCAGGCATGGACTCCCCTAGACCTCTGAAGGTATGCTGTGGTATCTGGCACCGAGCCGTCAGTAGCAGATCCTTTAAGCCCTGTAAGTTGTGAGGTGATCGGCCTCCATGGATCAGACTTGTTTCTCCAGCACATCCCTCAGATGATCCATTGGATTGAGATTTGGGGAAATGGGAGGCCAAGTCAACCCAGCAGAACATTCCCCAAAGCATCACACGGCCTCCGCCGGCTTGTCTTCTTCCCATAATACATCCTGGTGCCATCTCTTCCCCAGGTAACACACGCACCGGGCCATCCACATGATTCACCAGACCCGGCCACCTTCTTCCATTGCTCCAGTTCTGATGCCATTGTAGGTGATTTTGTTGGAGGACACGGGTCAGCATGGGCCCCCTGACCGGTCTACAGCTACACAGCCCCATACACAACAACCTGCGAGCCACCATTGCACTCACTGATGTGCACGGTACATCCCAATTGTGGTCCTCAAGAGTCTCGCTGACTTCCTCCTAAGCTCCGAATGTTAATGTGAGCGTTTACCATGCATGGGAAGAGTGACCATTGTCTGACAGAGACCTGATCACAGACTGTAACAGCGGAATATGACTTTCCAATGAAAATTGGTTTTCTTTGGTATGGACAAACAACAGAACATACCAAGTGCTCACAATGGTTTTGACTTCACCGCGTGCCAATTAAATGGGAATGTTTCAAACAAGTTAGTTCGCGCTTTTGGAGTCAATATTAGGCACCAGCTGCAACAATGTATGTTAAACGTTGAAAAGAGGGGCTAATATGTTGCGCTTGGTTTAATTGATCTATATGGTTTTTTTTATATATATATATCCTCATATGTGTCATGAACTATAAGTTTATTTTATTAATCCAAGTGTGCTATCCGTAGTGATTGCAATATTGTAAATAATAGGAAGTAATTACTCACCAGTATTCAAGTTTATTATTCACAGAGTTCAGTGTCACGTAGGATCACAATCACTCATTTATTTCGCAGATTTAAATATCACTTATAATATATTATATTTGTATTAATAAAATAAACTTATAGTTTATGACACATATGAGG